TTTCACACCCACTCCTGTGTCCCATTAAAAAAAAAAAGTCTTACTTGATAAGAACATTCTGGATTTTAGAAGGCTTAGGTTGGCCATCATATGGGCAAGTTTGAGTATGGGCCTAGGGTTACGATTTTAAATGTAGACATTCCATGTCCAGATTAAAAATCCCAGCAGGAGGAGACTGGCCAGTTGAGGGACCAGAGGTGATTCATTTGCATTGGGAAATTGCTTTCTGCCAGGGCAAACCTGGTTTGTGTGAACTGGGGCGCAGCCGCAAGGTGTACAAATAGGGAAGAACTTGAGTGTCCTGTCTCACCAGACTCCCAGTAACCAGTCTGCAGCCTGGTCACCTCATTGATGTGGCCAGTTCATAGTCCTTGGGCTTACCCGACGGTTTCCTATCAAAACTTGTGATATTCTGGAAAGAACCATCCCCTGGGGGTCTGGAAACCTGGACTCCAGTAACTCTAGTCTATTTCTGTTCTAGATAAGAAGTAGCTGGTTCACTTTCTGTCCTTGAATAGCTTTGATTTTATTCTTAAAAAGATTCTTTCTGTGAGTACCAGGTTTCTAGTCCTGTGCTGTTTTGTGTAATTATGACTTAGTTCTTGAGAACAGTGACCAGTCTTCTTAGTAACCTCTCCAGCCTTTTGCTTTTAGTAGGGTCTCTGTAGAAGTTTGTTCCTGTGTCTCCACATAGACAGGCAGAATGGCACATGCAGGTGGTGGGTGGCATAGCAGCCTGAACCTACCGCTGCTGCCATCCAGTCCGTTCCAAGTGATGGTGACCCCCATGGGAGGGCAGGTTACATATTGGCCACCAACCATAAGTTGAGCAGTTCAATCCCAGCAGCCAAACTGTGAGAATAAGATGGGGCAGTTTGTCACCTTTCACATCCTCAGAAACCTAATGGAAGGTCACCATGAGTCACAGGCAGCTATGTTTGGTTTACTTTTTAGACATGGTAAGAGATCATAGGGCAGAGCTTGGGTGGAGACTGGGTGAGGTTTAGAGGTGAGCCATGCTGGCCAAACCTCGTATAGGTGAGAAAACTAAGACCCAGGCCCAAGCATCTCTGTTCCCTTTGGCGGTGAGCACGTGGGGAAGCCAGGCCTGGCGCCCAGGCTCGCCAGGCTGAGCAGTTCTCCTGAGGAGTATGTGTTCCTTCTCATGCTCCTGTTTTGGCCAACAGGCCATGCAATCAAACAGGATCAAGGGTTGGGTCTTACTTAAACCAACAGACGATTATTGCAGTAAACTTGTAATTTAAATTCTGATTCATGTTTTGTTTGCTTTTTTTCCCTGGCAGCCATGAGCTTTAGCCTCTAGTAGATCTTTCACAGGATAGTGTAGAAAGGAGGAAATCTGAGGCTCGAAGGGATGGAGAAAGCCCAGCTGCCTTTGTTGCCACAGTGGGAAGGTGGGGGTGGGGAGAAGGAGGGCCGAGCCAGCCCCAGCCGGAAGAGTCCCTGAAGGGAAGGTAAGAAGGCCAAGGTGGTTCATCGTGGCATTCTCACCTTCCGTGCCTGAGACGTGGGTTCATCTCCTTGCCCATGTGCTTTGGTGCAGCCACCACCCTCAGTCATGGAGGCTCCTGTAGGTCTCTGGTGCTGAAGCATTTTCAGTGGAATTTCCAGTTCAAGACGAGGAAGAAAATCCTGGCAGCCTGCTTCTGAAAACCCTGTTGATAGCTACAGTCCAGTCTGGCCAGAGCAGTGTTTCGTTCCCTTGTGCAAAGAAAGGGTCACTAGGAGTCGGGGGCTGATTGCACAGCAGCTCAGAGCAGGAGAGCATGTCCAAGGCAGCATGTCTCCTACACTTTCTCTTGCTGGGCTGACAGATCCTCTCCACTAGCCGATAGGCCCTGCCTCCTGCGTGGAGCAGCTAGGGGTTTATGTGTTGTTACTGTGGAGGACCTGAAACATTCTTTCTGTGTGTCACTTGTCTGAGTCATGCCCTTATCTTCCTGGAGTTTGGTAAGTGGCAGAGGGTGAGCTGTGCCTGTCAGTCGTAGCAGAGGACAACCACCTGCTTGTAGCAGAACTGTGTGAGGACACAGGCTGCGAAGACAGTGTCTCAGTAGATCAAACCCCTGGCTGGGTTTTTCAGCTTGAAAGTGAACCTCTGAAGCACTGTGGGAATGGTGGCTCTTGTTAACCAGATGCTCAGGTTGACCAGGAGCAGTGATTGAGACAGCGTGTTCGGCTGGTGCAGAACAGAGACCAGCCACCCAGGCCTGCCTGTCCTGTCACAGACGAGGTGATAACAGTGATTTTATCCACACAACCATGGGCGTCTTACCTAGTTTTCTAGTCAACTGACAATGAGAGTCAGCAGAAAACATGTCAGCTTATTCACAGCTCAACTCGTAACATTCTTGGTAAACTCCAAGGGTCAAATAAACATATATCTTTTGCCTAGATTACTTTTAATCCTTATATTCTCATTTTGCATGCTAACTTTTTCAAAGGGCTTTGAATTTCTAAAAGAATTTATTTTATCTCAAGATTAGTTACTTAATCATGTGAGGCCGTTTTAAAAACACCACCAGCTGCCACGTATTGAACAGCCTGCCTGTTCTCATTAAGACTGCATGTGTCGGAGGCATCGGCAGGAGGAACGTAATGGTGGGATTTTGCCCCTTTTGGTTGAGCCAAAAGTTTGGGTCTGAAAAACTAGAACTCAAGCATTTGAGACTCTTGGGCCTGCACTGATATGGTACCCTGTACCCCACCGTTGTCAAGTAACTTCTGATCCGTCGCAGTCCTCTAAGACAGAATAGAACTCCCTGAGATTGCCAAGGCTCAGCTCTAGAGAAGGTGACTGACTGTGTTCTCAGCAGCTGCCTCACATTCGGACCACAGACATTGAGGTTAAGAGCCTAGTGCTTAGGGAGTTCTGGTAGCCTAGTGGCAGGAAGCTGCACTCTAATCCCAGAGGTACATGGTTCGAGTCCACCAGATGCTCTGCTGGAGAAGGAGGGACAATCTCCTGTACAGTCAGATCCGATTTGATGGTACACACACAAAAATGATAAAATAAATTTTTTTTTAAAAAAAGAGCCCCAAAAGATGTAAAACATTTTTTTAAGAGCCTAGTGCTTAACCACTGCGCCACCAGTGCTTTTTAATATGATACTCCTACAAAGAAGCCCTAGTGGCTCAGTGCTTAAGCACTTAGCTGCCATCTGAAAGGTCAGGGGTTTGAACTCACCAGCCGCTGCTCCATTGGAGAAAAGAGCAGGCAATCCGCTCCCTCAAAGAAGGCAGCCTCGATACCCCTGCGGGGCAGTTCTCCTGTGGGATGGCTGTGAGTGGGAATGAACACCACCCAACAACAGCCACATGTAAGGAATCCTGAAGATGGAATGGTTAAGGCCTCAGCTGCTGACCTAAAGGTTGTTAATTTGAAGAACGCCCCAGCAGATATGCCAGTCTGCTTCCGTAAAGATTGCAGCCCTGAGCCCCTGCGGTGGGGCAGTTCTGCTCTGTCCTGTAGGGCTGCAGTGAGCTGGTGTGATGGTAATGGGTTATTGTGGCTACATATGATGGCAGTGTGGCTGTTGCGTACTGATGTGTGGCTGGGTAACTTGTGAGGAGCGCTGGTGGCCTGGTGGCAAGAAGTTATGCTGCAGTCTCAAAGGCACGTGGTTCAAGTCCACCAGCTGGTCCTGACTCAGTGGTACACAACAACAATAACAACAGGGTTAAACGCTCACCCCAGATGAGGTCAGGCAGAGAGACTAACAACAAGGTTAAACGTTCACCCCAGACGAGGTCAGGCAGAGAGACTTGTTCTCATCAGATGAACAAACTTCTTTCTGTTTCCTGATTTCCTTATCAGCTTTAAAGAGAAAAGAGTAATCTGGTGCTCTGGTTAACGTTCAGTTACTAACTGAAAACCCTTCTATTCTGTCACATGGGTTACTGTAAGTCAGAATTCAACTTGAACCTGACAACAAGAGAAAAAATATGGATAATAGACCAGATGAATAGTGATTTGGGGCAATTATGTAGAACCTTTTCTTTAGAAGAATGGACACTCTCATTCCCCCAACATCCCCACCGCCATACAGGTGTTTATTGTTGTTGTTGTTAGGTGCCATCAAGTCGAGCACAAATCAGAGTGACCCTATGAACAAAAGATCTGAACCCTGCTCTATCCTGCGCCATCCTCAACTTCTTGACACACAAGAGCTCATTGCAGTAGTCAGTGTGTCAGTCCAGCTGACTGTGGGTCTTCCTCTCCTTCACTGACCCTTCACCCTTCCCAGCATCGTGTCCTTCTCCGAGAAATAGCCCCTCCTAGCAACATGTCCAAAGTATGTGAGGCGAAGCCTCATCATCCTTGCCTCCAAAGAGCACTCCAGCTAAACCCTCTCTAAGACATATCTGTTTGTTCTCTTGGCTGTCCATGGGATGTTCATTCCTCTTCTCCAACACCACAGCTCAAAGACATCAATTCTTTGCCTATCATCCTTATTAATTGTCCAGCTCTCAGATGTATAGTAAGTAATCAGAAAGACTGTGGCCTGAATCAGATGCACCTTAGTCTTCAAACTGACATCACTACTCCTCAATAATTTGGAGAGGTCCCTAACTACAGATTTTCCCAGTACAGTGTGTCTCCCTTATTTCCTGACTACTGGTACCAAGGGTGTGAATTGTGGATCCAAGCAAGGAGAGGCTGTTGACTGTATCAGTCTTCTCTCCGTACATCGTGACATTGCCTATCAGTCCAGTGGTGAGAGTCTGTTTTCCTGACATTGAGATGCAGTCTATACCGAAGGCTGCATTCTTTGATCTTCTGCAACAAGTGCTTCAAGCCCTCCTCCTTTCAGCAAGCACGGTTGTGTCATCTGCATAACGCAGGAGTTTAGTTTTCAAAACCTCCTAGTCAGGTTTGGTTTAACTGTGCGGATGATAGTGTTTGTCATGCTCATGTCTAATGGGTTTGCACTTACTCTGTTTTTACTAACTGAAGTGGTTTTTCTCTTTCCCATTAGGGATGGATGAATGAGATTTATAACTATGATCCCGAAACTTACCACGCAACCCTGACACATTCAGTGTTTGTTCGACTTGAAGGTGGAACCCTAAGACTTTCAAAGCCCAATAAAAACATATCCAGGAGGGCCAGCTACAATGAAACAAAGCCGGAGGTCACCTACATCAGCCAGAAAATCTACGACCTCTCAGACAGCAAGGTAAGCCAAGTCGTTCTGAAGGAGAGACCAGATAGATGAAACTTTGTTTGGAATCTTGGGCACTTTGCTGTATTATTCCCCACCCCCCTTTTTTTTTATTTAAAGTTAAAGCATTGGTGTAATAAAGCATGGCAGCAGTGCCTCTCAAGTGGAGTTGCTGGGGGCAGAAGTGGTTAAGTGCTGGGCTGCTGACTGGAAGGTTGGCATTGACATTTATCCAGAGGCACCTCAGAAGTAAGGCCTGGCAATATTTTGAGAGGTCACAGTCATAAATCCAGTGGGGTCAAGTTCTTTCTGCTCTGCACACTTGAGGTCACGTTGAGTCAGAACAACTGGCAACACAGACCTCTTGGACTTTAGGGGACTCTGTCCTGTAAGGCATACAATGGATCCCTTAGTCACCGTTACAAATTCAAGTTCTAGGGAGCTCTGGTGGCCTAGTGGCAAGAAGCTGCAACTGCAATGCCAGACGTTTGCGGTTCGAATGCACCAGGTGCTCTGCTGGAGAAGGAGGTGCAATCGCCTCCTGTACCAGTCAGATCTGATTTGACGGTACATGCACAAAAAAAAAAAACAAACCCAAAAAGAAACCAAATGAAGTTCTAATTCAGCAACTCTGGGTGGGACCTGAGAGCTCCATGCTGACACTCCAGCTTCTGCTCCATTAACTACCCCTTGAGGCTTCATGGAATCTTTTGATTTTTCTTTCCAGCTAATCAAAATGTTGTATGAGGAGATGCCGGGGAGGCTCTGTAAATGTCAAGATTGTGGATGCGCAAAAATGGCCTGCCTTTGGAAAACAGTATTATGTGCTTTTCTATGATTAAGATATGGAAATTATTTCATATTCCACAAAGCCAAAGTTAGAAATCTCTTCTTCGTAAAGATTTAGAACTATATCTCTAAGTTTCCTCTACTTGGCAAAAGTATTTTTGTCATTTTTTATCAGTTTTTTCTTAATTTGAGGTTGATAAACTTGAGCTTCAAGTCCAGTTTGAAAAATTCCTTTTTTTCCCAGTTTAGGTTTGACTCAGATGTAAATTATCACTTGGTCAGTGATTATTAGCTAAATAGTATGTGTTACTGGTATTTGAAAATAAGCATTCTTGTAACTATTAATAAATTCTTAAACGTCTACTTTCTAAAAGGGTTTTGAAGAAAAATAAGCCATTTCTGGAAACTTGTCCTACTTGCTATAGGCATGGTATAGAAGATGGATGGTACATCCATCATTTTAATTTCAAAAAGATGAAGTGTATATTTGAAGTATGCATAATACTAATACACAGTATAGTCAATTCTTTATTTAGTATGTCAATCATCTTTTTTTTTCTTTTCTCTGTAGATTTATCTTGTACCTAAAAGTTTGGCTCGAAAACGAATCTGGAATAAAAAGTACCCCATTTGTATTGAGCTCGGGCGGCAGGATGACTTTATGTCCAAGGCCCAGGCCGATAAGGAAACATCTGAAGAGAAGCCACCACCAGCTGAGAAAGAGCTGACAGGCGAGGACTCTAAGAAGCCACCTCAGGAGGGAACAAGATCTAGTCCCCGAGATCAGATACTGTATCTGTTTGGGAGAACTGGCCGAGAAAAAGAGGAGTGGTTCAGGAGATTTATTCTGGCATCTAAATTGAAGTCGGAAAGCAAGAAGCCATCTGGGGTGTCTGCAAATAAGCCAGGTATTGACATGTGTGCTAAATGCTTATATATTTTCACGGGTCTCTAAGGGAGATTGAGAACGAGTCCAGGTGGGGTGGAGGAAGCCACTTCAGATGTGATCTTGTGGCTCTTGTCTGGTGGGTTCATTGCTGCAGCTCTTGGTATCAGATCATTTGCACATTGTTGGAACTATTTGCAGCTTTTTGTTTATACTTTACTACTTTGTGACTCTTTCAAGAGAAGAAGCAATAAGAGAACCTAGGTATAAGAAGGCAGATGCTTCTAGAAGATGCTTCAGGAGAGTTTGGAAGCTCCTGGCCCCTTATGTGTCCTCCAGGCTGAGTTCGCCTTAGAAACATAGAGCTCTCAGTTCTCTCTCACTGCATTTGGCTCAGTCACCCCATGCAGCGAAGGTGGGGCTGCAAGGAACACAGAACCAGTAAAAGTTAAGCACTAACCGCCCTGGCCCTCAAGTGTTAGATAAAAGCTAATCTGTGCCAGTCAGATGTTAACAGATTGCTGGACCAACTTGAGCCTGATGCAGTGAGTACTTGCAAGAGCTCAAAGGTCGAGAACAGAATGAGTGGTCTGAGGGAAAAGGCTTTTGGGTGGGTTAAGTCTAGGACTGAGCCATGCTGGAGCTCTGCCTAACAGATTTTCGGGATCATGGAATTTGGAGTGGTTCACACAGGAGTCTCCAAAACTGCATGTGGTTGCTTTATTCCCTTCACTGGGGCATTAGCTACCCTAGTCTGCCTGCTTTCAACACCACCAGTCTCCATCCTCATCCTTAATCTGAGTTGGGTTTTTCATAAAGTAAGCATATTGTTGTTGTTGTTGTTGTTGTTACTGTTTTTATGTGCCATCATGTCACTTGAGACTCATAGCGACTCTATATACAATAGCCCTTAAAACCTGCTCTGTCCAGTGCCAACCTTACTTTCTGTGACACACTTACCCCCATTACCCCAATCACTTAGTCCATCTCATTGAGGGTCTTCCTCTCTTGCACTGTCCCTCCACCCTCCCAAGCATGATGTCCCTCTCCAAAAACTGGTCACACTTTGCAACACGTCCAAAGTATGTCAGATGAACTTTCAGAACCCTTGCCTCCAAGGAGCAGCCTGGTTTCACCCTCTCTAGGATGAACCTGTTTGTTCTCCTGGAAGTCCATTGTATATTCAGTACTCCAGCCTCACAGCTCAAAGGCATCAATAGAAAGTATTTTAATAGTCAAGAGGCTACTGATGATGTGCCCAAAGACCTGTACCACCATCCTAACCTAAGTAAGACTAGTCAATATGGTGTCTAGTTTTAGTTTCATAAACATTAACTTAACTCTGCAGTCCTGCTAAACTTGGAGGGGAAGAAAGAAAACATGGAACCCAAAGAACTATAGCAAGAACACAAAGATGAAAAGACACTGCAAGCTCCTGGGGGTAGCAGGGTGATCTCTGGAGCTATAGAAGGAATGATCCGGTGATTAACGGACAACATGGAATACAGATCACATTGGAGTTGTCCACAGTCAGCAGTGGTGATCTTCTTGCTGGTCTTGCCATTCCTGGACCCAGAGCGCTCATGGCTTCCACACCACTCATGCCTTCATTCACCTTACCAAAGACACATGCTCGCCATCCAACCCTCATCTGTAGCAGTGCAGATAAAAAACCTGGGAACCATTTGTAATGGGTCCGGAATTTGCCATTGACAGGATTCCAAGACCTGTGTGCTTCAGGATGAAATTCTCTTCATCAAACGTCTCCTCCAAGATGGACTTGCCACCAGTACCATTACAGTGTGAAGTCACCACCATGGCACATAAACCCAGGAATGATTCTGTGGAAGCAGGAACCCTTGTACCAAGTCCTTTCTCCCCATTACTCAGAGCTCAGAGATTTTCTGCTGTCTTTGAGACTTTATCAGCAGACATCTCAGAGGAGACACAGCCTGAAAGTTCACCATTGACGGGGATATCAGAGGACACGGTGGGACTGGCCATGGCTGGGCGCTAGCAGAGCCACCATGAGTGTGGCCAGGGCTGCCGTGTCTGCATAGCCGCCTCAGACTGAGTTCTGAGACATGACTTGGAAATACCCAAGACTTCTAGAAATCAGCATGATTTTAGGGAGATTCCTGAGTCAAAGAAAAGTGAGTGCCTCTCCCCAGCACCAGCCTTGAAGTTCCAAACGTGGACTATCACGGTGGCCACTAGCCACCTGTGGCTCTCCAAATATGCTCTGCCCGCTTGAGATGCCACAAAGCTATCCAAATACAGGCCATCCGGATGGAGATGTGCTCTGGGTGCCCAGCGAGCTTCAAGGTCTTAGTAGCAAAACAAATTTTAAAAGTAAACTATCTCATTAAAGTCATTTAGTCCCATTGATTTCCTGTCAAAATGATCTTATTTTAAATGTGAGTTTGAAGAAAACATATCCAAATTAATTTCATTTTTTTTTTTAACTTTTTTAGTGTGGCTACTAGAAAATTTGACATTGTGTTTGTAGCCTGTGTTTCTGGCTCACGTCTTACTTTTCTTGGACAGCCCAGGTCCAGGCTTGAGGCTCAAAGGTGAGGGTGGAGGACCACCAAGAAATGCCGCCTTAGGAGCTCAGGGACCTCTGAGAGCAGCGTGTTACTACAGACTTAACCAACGCATCAAATTCTTTTCAAGGAGTTTTGTCTGAAATCTTCCCGAAGCTTCTCAGACTCAAACCAGCCAGTAGATGTGAGGGATGTAGGGGACCTTCAGCACCCTGACTTGGCCTAACCTCAAGGCTCAGCTCTCACACCACTTATTCTTCCTGTGTCTTTTTGGGGGGCAGCCTTTAAAGTCTGTGAATTAAGGCATTCCCAGGAAGTGTAAGCTCATGGAAGCATGTTTGGTAAACAGCAATTGAGCCAAGATTAACTGGACTTGAGTGGGCTGGAGTCAGCTGTTAGGGTTGGAACAATGTGGGTTCTCCACCAAGGCCAAGAAACGTTGTTAGTCCCAGAAAAGAAAAGTCTTCTTTATGACCTGGCTTTGTCTTCTCCCTCAGAGGAGTCGTCGCTGAAATCAGATTTCTCTAGTGACCAGATTATGCGTCTCAAACTTGAGTATTTGAAGCCGTCTTGCTAAAAGGTGGTGATTTGAAGGCCCTGCATAGATAGGTCTGTGTCAGGTGATCCCGCCACCGCAGGCCTGTTCACGGCGCAGGAGAGCGAAGCTATGTGCCGCTCGGTGGAATTTCAGTGTCATCTCTGTACGAGAAGGCTCTTGGCAGTATCCAGGGCAGGTGTGCATGTGCTTTCTCCCCCTCCAGAGGTGATAGCACAAGGAGACTGTTCCAAGGACGGTGAACGCCAGCCAAGCCATACTGCGGCTTTTCCTTTATTTTCAGTGTTGAGAGGAAGACCCTTAGTGGTGCAGTGGTTAAGCACTCGGCTGCTAACTATAAAATCAGTGGTTCAGATCTAACAGTCTCCTCCTCTGAAGCCCGTAGAGAGGGCAGTTCTGCTCCGTCCTGTAAAGCTGTGGGAAGTCAGAACCCACTCAAAGACGCAAAGCAACAGACAGGTTGAGAAGAGGAGAGCACTCTCCTGACTCGGCCGTGAGCGGGTCAGCTTGATTGAAAAGAATTGATCCACGCAAGTGAAGGTGTCCCACACCTCTGACTCCTGCCTCTGGTTTGCTGGGTGGTATAGGAACGTTCTGCAGGGTGAAACCTCAACTATTCAAATGCTAGAATTATCCAGCTAAAACGCAGATGAAGAAACGTCCTGTGTGGCCCTTGTGAGACCGTGGGGAGTTACAGATCAGACAGCGCGGGCCTCCGAAATGAGGCCATCCTGTTCATATTTTTCTCTTTTCTAAAATAAACTGAACTCTAGACTTTATTTGGTTTTCACTAGCTTTTTCTCTGATGCCGTGTGTGTGCGCGCGCACACACAGCAGTACCCAACCCAGGATGCCACATTGCATTTAATTTTCATCTTCTTTAATCATTAAATGTTTTTGGGATGGATTTTATATCAACCTTTTTAAATGATGCTATATTAAAATGATAGGGTAATAATGCAGCATATGATTTCTACGGTTATACAGTGTAAAACCTCAAAGATTCAGGCACTTTCTAGCAGAAGCATAACTGAAGAGATGTCTTGGGAGGCCCTTGGGGAATTACAGATAATATGGCTGGAGTCTTTTGCAAAGAAAATGATTCGATTGGGTTTTTAACCACTCTGCCCTTCACCTTGGTCTCAGAGTAAGCCTGAAAAATATATATGCACCAGGTTCTGCCTATGATTAAACCTCCCCATCTTTACAGGGTCAAGTTTAAATGCTAATGGTCTTTTGCTTCTGAGTCCTCGTGTACTCAGTTCCCAGCTAGCTGTCCGTCCTCACTTCCTCTGCCGTTTGCGTAGAATCTCTCACTGTGCCTCATGCCTCATACATGCTCTGCTCTGTCACCGCGTTTTGCATATGCTGTTCTCTCTACCTGAACTACTTAATCTTCCTCCACCTGGGCCAAGAAAATGCCAACCATCCCTCAGAGTACCACCTGAGCAAGTCTGTCTCAGCTCTTTTGAGAATCTTTTTTTCTGCCCTGGATACTCTTAACCTGACTTAAGTTGTGCTACTTATTTTTTTAAAAAAAATTTTGCCTTCTCTACCACCATGTCTGAGTTCAGGGTCAGGAATTATGCCTTGATCTTTTTGGCACAGAACTGAAAGATGGCGTGTGTAGAATCACCTAGAGCTGGGAGTGAAGAAGAGTTTTCTGGCCCTTTCCCCTTTGCCCTTAGTAATGCTTATATCGGAGAGCATGAGGATGGCTCCAAATAGGGCAGCTCCTTTGTTCGTACGATTGCTGGGAATACTAGTCAGCTCCCTCGCACCTAATGACCTCACTCGTAGGCCCTCCACACAATGTGCAGTTTTCCTATTTGCCTGAAAAAGGAACTGCCTAGCTTTATTTTCTTACTCTTGTTACTCTGAATTGTCTTGGAAATAATTTTTAAAATTATCATTAGAGCAAAAGGTATTTTACAAGGGAAGAAACAACCTTGTAAGTAGCTTTAAAGATGTCCTATGAGAGCATTTTAGCTGCTGTATGGTCCTTTGCACTAACAGCCATCATTTCTCTGCTTCAGGGGTTCTGTCCACACACAGCAGACACAACAGTCCCTCCGGGCACCTGACCCACAGCCGCAGCAGCAGCAAAGGCAGCGTGGAGGAGATCATGTCCCAGCCAAAGCAGAAAGAGCTGGTGGGTAGTTTGCGGCAGAAGATGCTTCTGGACTACAGCGTGTACATGGCCAGATGTGTCCCTCAGGAAAGCCGAAGCCCCCAGAGGAGCCCTGTGCAGAGTGCCGAGAGCAGCCCCACCGCTGGGAAGAAGGTAAGTCTGGCTGGCAGCTGCTGTTCTTCTGGTTTCTGTCCACACTTTGTTCTTAGGCAGATATTTTGTGAGGGCCAAGCTCTGTTCTGTGAATGTACCTGGGACACAGTGATGAGCAGAACAGACTATGGCCCTGTCCTCAGGGAGCATGCACTCTAATATAGGGAGACAGCAAGCAACAAGCATCTAGATTTGATAGATTTGAGAAAAACATGCCGTTTTCTGAGTGAGAATTTTAGGCCCTCAGAGAGCATCTTGTTGAGAAGGTAACCTTCTAGCAGAGAGGAGGTTGCATGGAGGAAGTTGAGTCATGGAGGTGTTTGAGGGTAGAATTTTCAGAGTGTAGGCTTTATGCAAAGGCCCTGTACCAGGAATATGCTTGGAACGGTCAAGGAACAGCAGAGGCTTGTGTGGCTGGGCAGCGTGGACCCGGGAAGATCCCCTTGGATGGGGAATTTCAGGGTGGTGGGGAGCCCTGGAGGATTTTAAGGAAGGAGTGATGTTGATCAGATTTACATTGAGAAGGATAAGATAGACTCTCTTGACGAATGGGCCACAGGTGATAGAGTGGAGGGGAAGCAATATGGCGATGATGAGGATGGGCTCATTTGCCACTGCTCTGGTCTCAGCGGGTGGGGGGGCAGGTGTTGAGATGTGTTGAAGGTAGAGCCAGCAGGATTTGCCTTAGGGATCGGATATGGGGCTTGAGAAAGTTGATTTCGACTTGAGCCATGAGATAATCCTTAGGGGGATGATTGGAAGAACCATTAGTAAGTTAATAGTCTCAAGTTCTGCAAATTCATAAGTAAAAGCTTTTGAAGATTTACCATGAGCATTTCCTCCAGAGTGAAGCAAGCAAGACCTTGACTGGAGGTCATCTCTGATAAGGTAAATCATTTAAACTGCAGTCTGCTAGATTATGAGGCACTTTATGATATTTACTCTAATCTTTTTACAAGTCTTGAAAATTAGATGGTATCTGCCCATTTTGAAGTTACAGAAACTAAGGATCAGAGATGTTAAATAACACAGCTTCTAAGTAGTGGAACTGCACAGTCTGAGAGTTCTTCCCATGCCCCACGCCCCATGCCCCGTGACTTTCCAGATTGCTGTCTGGGTGGATCATTCTACAACTTTGCTTTCCCTGAGGACCTCCTTGTCTTTACCCGCTGTAGAACACAGAGAACACAGAGCCTATTTTCACCTTAGTGTTTGACCTCTTACAGTTGGGTAATTTCACTTCTTCAGGAGGCGTTTGGGTACCTTTCCTCTTTCTACCTGTTGTTGTTGTGGTTTGGTACCATCAAGCTGAGTAAGACTCACGGCAGCCCTATGAACAACAGATTTGAACCCTGTCCTATCCTGTCATCCTCTCAATCTCTGACACACTTGAACCCATAGCAGCAGTCACTGTGTTAAATCCATTTGGTTGAGAGTCTTCCTCTCTTTTTGGGTAGCACCATACGCAAAATATGTGAGATGAAGCTGTATCATCTTTGCCTCCAAGGAGCAGTCTGGCTGTACGGTCTCTAAGACATATCTTTTTGCTATTTTGGCAATCCATGTTCAGTTTGGTACTCTTCTCCAGCACTACAGTTCAAAAGCATCAGTTCTTCTGCCATTCAGTGTCCAGTTCTCAAGTGCATAGCATGTAATTGAAGAAACCCTGTGTCAGACACACCTTAGTTTTCAAACTGACATCATTTGCTCCTCAGTAATTCAGAGAGGTCCTTGACTGCAAACTTTCCCAGTGCACTTGTCTCTGATCGCCTGACAAAGGATCTCCTTGGTCTTTTGTGCCCACAGTTAGTTTCTGTTCATTCCATTGATCCTACTCAGCATGCAGGAGGCCCTGTTCTCACCTGACTTTCTGTAACTTAAAATCTCCAGAACTCCACTTCCATTGAGTTGACTCACACTCATAGCAAACCTCCACCGGTTTCCTGGCCCTAAATCTTAACAAGAGCAGCAACTGGTAGATTTGAAGCACCCACCCTTTGGTGAACAGCCCAACAGTAACGCTCTAAGCCGAAGGGCAAAAACGAACAACATGCCTTTGACTTAAGTTACCAGCTCCTGGAAGTAGACTTCCTCTAGAGTAGCTCAGATGATGTGAAACTCTTCCAGAATTGTCTGACTTACCAGTTATGAGACGCTCCATTCCTCCACTTGCCAAGTCCCCTTCTGCCTGGGCTCTTAGCTGTTTGGATTTTCCTTTTACTCAGGAAAGTCAGGAGAGGATTTATATACTGACATAAGAAAAAAAATTCACTGATGTTTTTATTTTTTAAAAATGGCACTTACTCAAAAAGTTGGAAATAGAAATACCCTTTGACCCATCAATTCTTCTACTGGGAATATACCCTAAAGAAACCAGAACTGTCACCCAAGCAGATATATGCACACCCACGTTTATTGTGGCTTTGTTCACAATAGCAAAGAGTTGGAAACAACCCAAGTGCCCATCAACAAATGAATGGATAGAGAAGCTCTAGTATATTCACACAATGGAATACTATGCTGCATTGAAAAACAAGGAACTCATGCAATATTATTCAAAATGGGTGAGCCTGGAGGACATTATGCT